GATTTGGATTATTGAGGGGCTCTCTCTGCTCCTTCCCTGTCTGTGACACCTGCCCCAGTAAACTTTATTTTTACTTTACATCTTGTGATTCTGGCGATGTGTATTTTGCCCTTTCTTTGCAAGTGATGTATCTTATTCGTAAGTAGCTCTCTTTTGAGGAGGGTAGACCTACATGCATGTGGACAGCTGACTATTCATTAGCACAGACATGAGGTGGATTAACCTAACTACTCTGAGCTGCAATTCTCTATTCCTACAATAGGACAGCATGTGTGTAATGCCTGGCAGGTTCTCGAAGGTTTTTAAATCTGTGACCACCCTAAGTTAATGCCTTCTGTCCTCCTACCCATCTTTGCCCTCTGAGGGTACCCACCATATTAAGTTGTTTTTGGTATTTAAGTATAATATTCATAAGATCAACTGCTTTCTCTGGACAGTACGTATGCACTCAACAGGTATACTTACAAAACACCAAATAACAACTCTATGGGTAGATTTGGGGGTACACTGCACCCCAAGCTGTGTCCCCTCCAAGTGTCTCCTTAATCCCACTGAGGTGCCATAACGATGAGCAGAGGCACTGAGGTATCTAATCCCTTTCTACTGGTCTTTTATACAGTTCAAGTTCCTTTTTAGTTAAGAATCATTCTTTGCTGTTTGACTGGTTTGTTTTAAATTCATTGGTTGATAGTATTTCATTTGTTGGTTCAAGTAACATTTGAACATATGAACATTTGAACATGTGAACAATGTTCAAGTAACATTGATATATGAATAGGCCTTGTAGGATGTAAAACAATACATATAAAAGAAATAATCTGGACAACTGTGAGTAGCATTCAGAAAGAGTGTTGGCACTTTGTGTTATTGATTTTGCTTATTTGTTAATATAGGAAGTCTTTCTTTTCTAATGGTACTCAAGTACCACTTCATTCACTTGGCTGACTTCTCCCTTCTCCTGAGCTGACTGTGTATGTGTCTTCCCATCTGCATTTAGTGACACTGTATTGGTTGCCAGGGTTGGAGTGTTTGTGCCACAGGTATCAGCAAACCCTACATATAGGGCTTCTCCTCAGTTTTTTATTTTTTGGAGATTCTATTAGATGTTTATTCTGGTTCTGTCACTTCTTCACACCAGTTACTACACGTTGGTGGTTATCCCTCCAGAAGTTGGTGGTTCTTCCTCCTTGTCATGGCTTTAACAGTCTGTTCCTTGCATTGATGTTTGTCTTTCACCTGTAAGCTCAAACTTCTGGTTACTGGAAATGAATCTACATGTCTGCATCTGCTTGTCTGGTTTGTCCACCCCCATTTCTCTCTCTATAAGTTCCTTGAAGACTCGTGATATGGAGGGCACTTAGGTAGGTTTTTTTCAGTTTCCGTTTTCCCAGGACTTACTTAGTGATGCTGCTTTTAAAAAATGTTTGAATTTTTTCTTAATATATAATACTTGCACATGTGATATTTTGTTATATCCATGAACGTATAATGATCAGGGTACTGTCCACCACCTTGAGTATTTACCATTTCTCTGGGTATGTTTCAAGTCCTCTCTACTTTCTATTTTGAAACATACAATAGATTGTTTATTTTTTCTTTTTCTTTTTCTTTTTGTAGAGATCGGGTCTTGCTGTGTTGCCCAGGCTGGTTTTGAACTCCTGGGCTCAAGCGATCGGCCTGTCTTGGCCACGCAGTGCTAGGATTATAGGTGTGAGCCTACGGCCAGCCAGATTGTTGTTAACTGTGGTCACTAGATTCAGCTTTTAAAGAAACCCTAGGGTTTTGACCCAAGGATGTGATTTAAAACTGATCTTTCCAACTGCTCAGTCCTATCTGAGTTGCGAGGCTGACTGAGTGTTCCTTCAGGATGTTTTATGGCTAGCAATGTTATGGGATTTTAACTGCCTTGAGAAGACAGCCGAGCCATAGCAGTGCTCTTCTTGGGCATGTGGGTACAATTGACATACTTCGTTTTTTTTTTTAATATGACTTATACTTTTTACCTTGATATTTAGTTCTCCCCCACCTTTCTTCTTCTTCTTCTTCTTCTTTTTTTTTTTTTTTTTTTTTTTTTTTAAGATTTAGTGTCTTGCTCTGTCACCCAGGCTGAAGTGCAGTGGCATGATTATAGCTCACTGCAGCATTGACTTCCTGGGCTCAAGTGATCCTCCCACCTAGCCTCCTGAGTAGCTGGGAATATAGGCATGTGTTACCTACCACCCCCTGCTAGTTTTTTTTTTGTGTGTGTGTGGGGGTGCAGGGGTGTGTGTATGTGTGTGTGTGTTTCTTTTTGTAAAGACAAGGTCTAACTGTTGCCCAGGCTAGATGGGATTTCTTTTAAACTGTCAGAAGAAATGAGATTGTTAACTGTTAGTCTCTTTGACCTTGTCAATTGTTTAACTCAACAACTTTGACGTTTGCAATATTATTACTAGTGTCACAAATTTTCTCACAGTCTAACGATTCTTTTAAGGTAGAATTTTACTAATATCTGACTTGCTACTCTAAAGAATATTTATAGTCACCAAATTGCTCCCCCTATTTTGCAATTCCACTTAAAAAAAATCTTCATGTATAGAGGTGATTTTCAGAATGATAGAGAACAGGGCCAAAATGGTTTGGCCACATGAGGAGTGGGTTTCCTACTTAATGTCCAAGGGACAGACCTAAACCTGAGAAACCCAAGGTGGTGGTAGAGATCTGTGAGGCAGGCAACTCAGGACCCTTAGAAATAAAGAAGAATCTGGATAAAAGAGCTATGAGACTTACTTTAGAAATTGCCTAATGACAGATTCAGGGTTTTGAATAGGAAATAGTATTTGGTATTCAAAAGGTTTCTCAAATAAGTGAAAAAAATGGGTAGAGCTGGCCCTTGAAATGCTAATCTGAATAACAAAGACTGGGTTGATTTTACAGGAAAAGTGTGGAAGGCTTCTGAACTGGCTTTCCTTGTCTTTGCCTTTGTGTGAGTGTACTGTCCATTGTTCCTACACACAATTAAACATATCCGTGCTCTGGAGTCAGATATTAAATGCGTAGGTGTTATTGTTTTTAAAAATATATACCTACAGTTTCATATTTTAAAATGGACTTTAGTTTTTTATCAGTTACAAAGTCTGTATACATGTATATATGTATACACACACACACACACACACACACACACACACACATATATAAATCTGAAGTGCTGCCTACTAAACGTTTTTTCAAGAGAGAAAATTTCTGTTACTAGTAACCCCATTCGCCCTAGTCTATTATTTGGAGAACACATAAGCAATCATCTGGATCTTCTTTTATCTGAATATTTTAAGAGTAAATGTTTTAAGAGTAAAACAGTAGTGATCCCTCAGCTTGACCTAAACAAATATTTCAAGCCTTTTATTTTTGTAAATGAAAGTAATTTCTTGTGTATCTTCTACTTCTTATTTGTCCTATGTATCATTTGTTTAATCATTTTTTCTAAAAATTATGTCTCTTTCTCTGAAGGCATCACTTTCTGGTAAACATTGATAAGAAAATGTTTCATATAAAATGAGCTGAAGTTTTTTAGTCCATTTGCAAATCGTGAATCCCAGATTTAATTATATCCCAAGGGAAGAACCTGAGGAAACCAAAAGTACTAATGTAATTGGGCCAAATTGTATAATCAAAAGCAAATGATATGGTTATTCAATCTAATGAAATGATTTTCGAGGGTTTAATTCATTTCGCTGATTCAAGATATTTTAGTAATAAATAAGTTTGTTAAAATGGACATTCTATGATGTCACCACTTTCAAGCCATTCTTTTCTCAAGACCCTTTCTGGTTGGAAATATTTCTAAAGGCTGTAGCTTAATGAAGATAATGGATATCTGCTGGGGCTGGGAGAAAAGGAAGGTGGAGCAGGAGATGAAGTGTGAGTGCTTAAAGGCAAAGGGAAAGTAGTGAAGAGAGTACATCACTTTTTAAAAAGTGTTATTCTCTTGTCATTTTACATAACATGAAAACACTCCATTGAATGGTAAAATCTATATGATATCTAAGGGATTAATGGCTAGTTTGGCTGGGACTGGGGGTCATGCCTGTAATCCTAGCTCTTTGGCTGGAAGATTGCTTAAGGCCAGGAGTTAGAGACCAACATGGGCAAAATACTGAGACCCAGCATGTACAAATTATTTTAAAAATTGGCCAAGTGTGATGGCACACACCTTTAGTCCTAGCCACTCAGGAGGCCATGGCAGGAGAATTGCTTGAGCCCAGGAGTTTGAGACTGCAGTAAGCTATGATTATATCACTGTACTCCAGCCTAGACGACAGAATGAGACTGTCTCTTAAAAAGGGGGGAAATACACACACACACACACACACACACACCCACACACACACACACACACGACTAGCTTATAAAGATTTTGTTAAAATACATAGGAGATGAAACTCCTGATAAAGAAACTTGTGAAGAGTATATGTAATCATTCCACAAATATGATTGTATTAGGGTTTTTCAGAGAAACAGAACTGGTAGAATGGAAATTCTATCATCTATCTATCTATCTATCTATCTATCTATCTATCTATCTATCTATCTATCTATCTATCTATTTATCTATCATCTATCTATATCTATCTATCTATCTATCTATCTATCTATCTATCTATCTATCTATCTAGCCTATACATGTATACACACATATAAAGTTTCTTATAAGGAATTGGCTCATGTAATTATGGAGTCTGAAACGTCTCAAGATCTGCAGTCACCAAGCAGGACCCCCTAGAAGAGCCAGTGGTGTAATGATCAGCCCAAATGCCTGCAGCTCTATTCCCCCAGAAGATACTTTAGTCCAAAGGCAAGAAAAGATAGGTATCTCAGTTCACACAGTCAGGCAGAAGGACTCCTCTCCCTCAACCTTTTTGTGCTATGCAGGTCTCCAACTGATTGGATGATGCTCACCCACATTAGGGAGGACACTGGGCTTTTCTCAGTTTACTGATTTAAATGTTAATCTCTTTCAGAAACACCCTGGCAGACACACCCAGAATAATGTTGGGCCAAATGTCTGGATGTCATGGAACCCAGTTAAGTTGACATATAAACTTAACTTTCACTGTGATATGTTTAATCTTACTTTCAGTCTTAAATTCCAGCTAGAATAGCAGCAAGACTTTTTGCTAATCAGATTAAAGGGAGTAAGGACTATGTGTGTCTTTTTGTCTATCTCCCTATCTCCCTCCTCCCCATCTCTGTCTATTAGAGCAGCTGGCTAAGAACTGAGAAAGATCTAAGATTTTATCCTACTTGCAAGCTAACAGTTAACCTGCCTCAGTTTTATGGTTGCTGGCAGAAGACACGAGGCTCCCAGTTCAGAGATGAGGAATTTTGTTACTCTTAGTACAGCATGCAACATAAGCGTCAGCATATTTGGTTCAGTTTTCCTTACTCCCTAGACCAGTGGAAGTGATGCCATTGGGCCCAGATGGATGCCTGCATGCTCTGTGGGAATGTTACAGGGGAGGACTCTAAGCTGAGGAATCTTTTATAATGGCAGTAAGCAAGACTCACTCCCCTTGGCTCTGGAGGGAGACACTATCTCTGTCTCTCAGGGCTTATGTCTGCACAGATATCTTTGAGAAGCAAGTCCAAAACAAAAGCGATCAGTGCCTCTGTTTGCAAGACAGGCAAATTTGCAAGTGAAAAATGGATAGTTGTCTTCCAACACAGAAAATAAAAGCTGTGAAATGAACAGTTTACTATAAGGCTGGTAATGATATCAGTTGGCTCAGTCATTTTAGAAAGTAGTTTGATACTGGGTACCTTAAAATGATCATGCCATTTGAAACCTTGTGTTATAGACTTCCTTCAAATAAGTGAATCCTGAATATTGAAATCTTATTTAGAAATCTATCAGTTACGAGTTAAAATGTTCTTTGATGAGTGAATTGTGAAATGATGACATATTTACTTGATAGAATATTGAATCATTAAAAATTGTTTCTCTAATGATTACAATAAAATGATACATTATTTATATTTTATTATTACTATGTAAAAAAAGAAAAACCTATATGATCTCAAAAAAACTGGAAGTAAACACCAAAGGTAAGAGGAAAAGACAGAAATCATCTCGTATCAGTACAGCAGTGTCCTGGAAGCATGGTGTTCTTTAATCACTCTGACCAAACTTTTTTTGCCACAGAAGATGAAAGATGCTTATTTTTTAAAACAAGTATTTTATCAATCGAATTCCCATTTTCTTTTTTTTTTTTTTGTTTTTTTTTTTTATCTAGAGGTGTTGGGCACCTAGTTAGCCCTTATAGTTACAAGACAGTTTTCTGAGTACTTTAAGTAGCTCATTTGATTTTTATGCAAACTCTGTGAGATAGACATTATTTTCCCCAGTTTATAAATGAGTAAACTGAGGCACAGAGAAGTAACTTGTCAAAATGATTCTGCATGTTTTAGTACCATGCTCAGCTGCCATATCAAATATAACATGCTTAGTAGTTTAAATTATTGTATTTGTTTATATCTTAATTTTTGTTTCACACTCGTATCATATTCCAGGAATTAAGGACAATGCAACAAATACATAGCTAATGAGTTTTATTAATGTTAATGTTAAATATTATGACAAATATTTAAAACCATAATTTAAAATTAAGTATTCAAAGGAGTCATTATTGCTGTACATCTTGTGTCAAACATCTATTAAGATTCATTTTATTAGGGATAATACAGTCTGTTTATCCTTGAGAAATCTATCACTTAGATATTACTTCATTCAGTTCAGCTAGAACATTGAGTGATAGCAAGATTTTTTTTAAAAATCTACTTACTAAATTATAATGTTGTATTGGAATGTGATAAACCAGTGAAAATTCTAATATATGTTTACATAAATGGATTTTGTTATATTACCCATGGTTTTTTTTTTTTTTTGAGCTGGAATCTGACTCCAGTGGAATCACAGTGGAATGCAGTGACATGATCTCCACTCACTGCAGCCTCCACCTCCTGGGTTAAAGTGATTCTCCTGCCTCAGCCTCCTGAGTAGCTGAGATTACAGGCATGGGATTACAGGCATGCGCCACCACGCCCAGCTAATTTTTATATTTTTTAGTAGAGATGGGGTTTCACTATGTTGGCCAGGCTCGAACTGTTGACCTCAAATGATCCATGTACCTCAGCCTCCCAAAGGGCTGGTATTACAGGGGTGAGCCACTGTGCCTGGCTCTATTTCATGTGTTCTTGTTCATTAACACTTTAAGATAATGAGGTATAGGACATTGGAAACTGTAGAATTTTTTCTTGCTATTTTCTTAACAAGCCCTTTATGATTAGTAGTCACAAAATATTTATTATTAAGGAAAACTGTGGAAAAATATCAAACTTGGTTCTTGTCAAAAGTCATTTTATGTTTTTTTGGACCAAGAGTTGCTGATGAACTTACCCTGTGACTCTTCCTTCTTCACTTTAATTTTAATTTAAAAAATTATTATTACTATTTTTATATATAGCATCTTACTATATTACCCAGGTTAGTCTTGAACTCCTGGGCTCAAGCAATCTACCTACCTTGGCCTCCCAAATGTTAGGATTACAGGCATGAGCTATCATACCTGGCCCTGTTTGATCTGTTTAAATGAAATTTATCATCTGGGAGTGGTGATTCATACCTGGAATCCCAGGAGTTTGAGACCAGACTGACCAATATGGAGAAACCTTGTCTCTACTAAAAATACAAAATTAGCTGGGCGTGATGGCACATGCCTGTTATCCCAGCTACTTGGGAGGCTGAGGCAGGAGAATTGCTTGAACCCGGGAGGCAGAGGTTGCAGTGAGCTGAGATAGCAACATTGCACTCCAACCTGGGCAACAAGAGCAAAATTCCGTCTCAAAAAAAAGAAAAAGAAATTTATTCCAGTTGTCTAATTTGTTTGATGGAACATCTTAGCAATCTGTTTGTCTCTTTGTCATCTCAAGCTTTTTTACTGTTCAGAATACTAGACTACAACTGATGTTTGAAAAATCTCTCTGCATGATTTCTAGAGCTGATTAAATATGACATATACTGATAGCAGTGAACAGTTCTAACTTTGGATTCCCTGAATGTTCTGCTTTCTTTCTAGGCCCTTGTGTCTTAGCAAAGTCACTTTTTAGAGAAATTATAATACAGCAACATATATGTATAAAATCTAATTTATGAAAGTATTGTAAGCTTTTTAAAAAACAATAAAAATATCTTTTATTTCTTTTTTTAAATTATTTCTTTTTTTTCTTTTGGAAACAGAGTCTTGCTCTGTCACCCAGGCTTGAGTACAGTGGCACAATCTTGGCTCACTGCAACCTCTGCCTCCCAGGTTCAGGTTATTCTCCTGCCTCAGCCTCCTGAGTAACTGAGACTACAGGTTCCTGCCACCACGCCGAGCTAATTTTTTGTATTTTTAGTAGAGATGGGGTTTCCTCATGTTGCCCAGACCTGGATTTGAATCCCTGAGTTTAAGCAGTCTGCTGCCTTGGCCCACCAAAGTGCTGGTATTGCAGGGTTGAACCACTCTACCCAGCCCATATTCTTTATTTTAAAAAGAATTTATGCTCGTTGTCCAGAATACTTAGTTATAAAGACAGTAAAAATCAGTTGTAATCCTGCCATCCAGAAATAACCTTGGGTAATATTTTCCTTGAATTACCGCTTGATATTCGTTATTTATATGTGTCTTCCTTAAAAGATAGGAATTCTCACTTCATATATGAAGTGAGAATGTTTAGAGTTTAATGGTTTTTAATAACATAACTTTCAGTTTTGAGAATCTTCTCACAGATCGTGGCCCTGACATTAACTAGCTGACTTGGGTCACAGTCACTTCTTAATAATTTTGGATCACTCTTCCACGAGTCAAGTAGGGTTAAAAAAAAAAAAAAGTGAAAATAAAGAACCCCATAGTCCTTGATGCAGCTTTCAAATCCCAGCTCTAACAATATGAACTCTTTTCTAGGCCTAATTTCTTCAAAATAAGAATGCCTATCTTGTTGTGAGGATTACATGAAAGATTGTACAGTTTGTGATGCATTGTAGATTAGTAAACATTTTTTTTTCTTTTTTCTACAAGTTGTATTTTAGGTGTAAGGGGTTTTGCAAGTAGTGACATCTATGAGTTCATTACAGCAGACTTATAAGCTAAACATATTTCCTTTATTCAGATTAGGAAAACTAGCGCTTAGTGCCATGACTGGGACATGGCAGAGGCTGGACTCCCACCCAGGCTCTGTAACTTTTATTAAAAAACATTCTGCATGTCATCAGCACAGCTCTTTTATCCCTACTGTAAAGTACCGAAATCCTCGGGAACTTATCATGTGGTTATGTTTGGAAAGAGCCTCACTACACACTTAATTCATTGAAAGTTCCATATGTTTTGTTTATTAAAATACTTTTAAGGGTTGTATTGAGGATTACATTGAGGTCGTATTGAAGACCAAAGAACTAAGTGGTGCCTAGGAAATCTTCAGTATATACTAACAGTGATCATTTTTGTGTTTTGGTATATTTTTAAAATTTATTAGGTTATAGCCTTTTTAAGATGTGATTTGCACGTATCACTTGCAAGAGAATATTTGTTTAGCTTACTGTTGATCTAAATAAAAATTGATAGGCCAGGCGCGGTGGCTCAAGCCTGCAGTCCCAGCACTTTGGAGGCCAAGGCGGGTGTATCACGAGGTCAAGAGATCGAGACCATCCTGGTCAACGTGGTGAAACCCCATCTCTACTAAAAATACAAAAAGTTAGCTGGGCATGGTGGCATGTGCCTGTAATCCCAGCTACTCAGGAGGCTGAGGCAGGAGAATTGCCTGAACCCAGGAGGTGGAGGTTGCGGTGAGCTGAGATCGTGCCATTGCACTCCAGCCTGGGTAACAAGAGCAAAACTCTGTCTCAAAAAAAAAATAAAAAAATTGATATAAAAATTACTGTAGTTCCAGCCTTAGTACATCTTAGTAAAGCTTGGTCAATTTTAATTTTATCTAATTTTATTTATTTATTTTGAGACACAGTCTCACTCTCTTGCTCAGGTTGGAGTGT